TTTCTCATTGTTTGGTAACTATTTGCTGCAAATGCAACAAAAATCAATATAAAAATATTACCCACACAGCATTCTACAGGTTACTTGTATATTTAGTGTTTGATTATCACCAAAAAAAATAAAAACTCTGAATTACTTCAAAAATCAGGAAATTAAATAAAAATATATAATTCCTAACAATGTATTATCATGGCTTGCATAAGTGTAATAGGAGATATCCACAGTCACTAATCTGACAACCATTACAAATCATGATCGTGCAGTCGGCACATGGCTACAGAAACTTTGATTGAAATTGAAGTATGACAACACAAAGAATGAGAAATTAAACTAAAAAAATATCTATTTGACAATTTATTTACTAGTATACACAGATCCCGGACACAGACGAACAGGATGGATAAACAATGTTTACATGCACTGACTGTGACAAAACTCTCGTCTTAATGTAGTCAGGCAATAGAAGAATGAATTACAAATACCATTATCAAAAATGGCAACAAGTCATGTTAATAGTCTTCGTCCGAACGGGAACTTATAATCCAGGTCTCCATGCGTTCGTCCGGAGTCGTATCTCAGAATCCCTTGGGCCGACATATGCACATGCAGTGGTTTAGCGATTCAATTCAAAATGGCCGACTGGCAGCCATCTTGTTTTTGAAAATGTTGTATTTTGGACATGCTTTGTCAGTTGTCATTTGAACTTGGTACATAGATTATTCATGTTAGAATACATGTCCATGACGATTAATTTCGCAATTGGATCAAAGATTCTATGCGGTATCTTGGACGTGCTCTGTTAGTTTTCATTCAAATTTGGCACATACATGTACTTTATACATGTTAGGATGCATGTCCATGACAATTTGTTTCAAAATCTAGTCAAGGATGGCCGATTGACAGCCATCTGACTTTTTGGCCTTACTACTATATTTCCACAATTTATGTACCATTTTCATTCGAATTTGGCTCATACATCATATACATATCAGTGTGTTTCATAATCAGATCAAAGATGGCCGAATAATGGCTGTTTTTATTTTTGGCCATATTACTACTACACGGAACACATGTTTTGATGTAAATAAACAATCTGTTGTATACGCCACTTGGAACTCAAGTTTCAAGGACACGCTCGCGACAACCCCTCCGCTTTAATATGACGAGCACAAAGAGAACTTTCAAACCTTTAAATGGGGACTGTGTCATTTTCAATGACTTGTTTTTTATTAATTTACCTTCATTCCATGGGTGTTTGATCATGCCACAATCAAAACATTGCTTGCAATTCAACTTTTGGTTTGGCGAATCACAGGGCACATTTCAATTAATCCACATGGTTAACTTCTTCTGTTCATATAATTTCACTATTTCAAGCCTTTTCACTGGGTCACTAATTTGGCATTAGAACAATGAGTTTTATTGTAATTTTTACATATTCATGTGGATTTAATTTAGCAGATTTTACTCATCAGTGAAAATGGAAATATTACAACACAGTGAATAATTAATGCATTTACAGTATGCTTCAAAACAGTATGAAAATGGTGAAATTACAACACAGTGAATAATTAATGCATTTACAGTATGCTCCAAAACAGTATGAAAATGGTGAAATTACAACACAGTGAATAATTAATGCATTTACAGTATGCTCCAAAACAGTATGAAAATGGTGAAATTACAACACAGTGAATAATTAATGCATTTACAGTATGCTCCAAAACAGTATGAAAATGTGAAATTAAAGGCCAATGAAAAATAGTTTTACAGTGTTCAAAAATCAACTAGCAAAGACACTGGAAAAAACCTCAGATGAACGTAAACCCTATTTGCATATATCACTGAGTTGTACATGTATATACTTGTCCTTTATAATATAGATCTTATAAAACTAATGTCTATGTTTTTACATATGGTGCATTTAATGTCAGTGATTATCAAACAAATTGGTACACTAGGTAAATTGCAAGTTGTGCAAGTTTTTAATCCTTTTTTATGTTTTAATTTTTTTGTCACAAATATTTACCGCGGAATGTTAGCAATGGTGAATTTTGTCCATTAGGTTCAAAATTAACAAAGAAATTATCCAAAAAATACCTAAAAGTTTGGCAGGTAAAAATGTGACGTTCAAAGTGTTAAAGAGCTAGTATCCATTAGCGTTTTTAGCGTGCATTTTTATCGTCGCTTAGGTATTAATTTTGTGTGTGTGCAGGTGACAATCCTTTCGCTTTAAATCAAATGTATTGATTGTTCCAATTCTTATTTAAATCAAATACATGTATACCGGTAAGATAAAAAAAACACCATGTTTCTCCCCTTTGTATTAATGTTAATATTACTGGTATACAAGTTTTAGTATCCGGTCATGTTTGACAATGATCGTGCTAAGATTTCCTTCTTTTACTATACATAACTTCCTATGGATCTATTTGTGAGTTTATGCCAAATATATCAGTGTATCCTGATATGTTGTGTTCTTGTATCATATTTCAGTTACTTACCGGGTTGGACAACACAGAGGAAGAGATGGAACATTGTGCTAGAGAGGTAAATTTACAATAAACATCTTTAAAAAATTACAAAATGCATTATATCATTATTATACAATAGAATTTGTTGTTAAAAGCTGTATTGCAACAGAAATAGAAAATATGCAAACAGTAGCTCAGTGCAAAATGTTTTTTTCTAATGATCTCTAATTAAACTATTACAGTACTACAAGCAAGAAAAAGATGTAGAATAAGAAGCTTTTCGTGGAAAATACCACAATGTATTAACTCTGGCTTCACGGCGACCTGGTTAATAAACAAATAATGTACTGCCTTTATGCATTCTTTGCAGTTTTTTTGTGCTAACCTTATATTAAATTGGTTTTAATAGTAAATATTAAAAGATTAATAGGGCTTGAACTTCAGTATTGGGAGGGCAGCCATTAACATGGGGGAATTGGCACATGGGAATGACATGGGAAATTAGCACATGGGAATAACATGGGGGAATTAGCACATGGGAATAACATGGGGAATTAGCACATGGGAATAACATGGGGAATTAGCACATGGGAATAACATGGGGAATTAGCACATGGGAATAACATGGGGGAATTAGCACATGGGAATGACATGGGGGAATTGGCACATGGGAATGACATGGGGAATTACCACATGGGAATGACATGGGGAATTAGCACATGCGAATAACATGGGGAATTAGCACATGGGAATAATATGGGGAATTAACACATGGGAATAACATGGGAAAATTAGCACATGGGAATAACATGGGGAATTAGCACATGGGAATAACATGGGGAATTAGCACATGCGAATAACATGGGGAATTAGCACATGGGAATAACATGGGAATTAGCACATGGGAATAACATGGGGAATTAGCACATGGGAATAACAGGGAATTAGCACATGGGAATAACAGGGAATTAGCACATGGGAATAACAGGGAATTAGCACATGGGAATAACAGGGAATTAGCACATGGGAATAACATGGGGAATTAGCGCATGGGAATAACATGGGGAATTAGCGCATGGGAATAACATGGGGGAATTAGCACATGGGAATAACATGGGGAATTAGCACATGGGAATAACATGGGGAATTAGCACATGGGAATAACATGGGGAATTAGCACATGGTAATAACATGGGGAATTAGCACATGGGAATAACAGGGAATTAGCACATGGGAATAACAGGGAATTAGCACATGAGAATAACAGGGAATTAGCACATGGGAATAACAGGGAATTAGCACATGAGAATAACATGGGGAATTAGCGCATGGGAATAACATTTGGAATTAGCACATGGGAATAACATGGGGAATTAGCACATGGGAATAACAGGGAATTAGCACATGGGAATAACAGGGAATTAGCACATGCGAATAACATGGGGAATTAGCACATGGGAATAACATGGGGAATTAGCGCATGGGAATAACATGGGGAATTAGCGCATGGGAATAACATGGGGAATTAGCGCATGGGAATAACATGCGGAATAACATGCGGAATTAGCACATGGGAATAACATGGGGGAATTAGCACATGGTAATAACAGGGAATTAGCACATGGGAATAACATGGGAATTAGCGCATGGGGAATTAGCACATGGGAAAAACATGGGGAATTAGCACATGGGAATAACATGGGGAATTAGCACATGGGATTAACATGGGGAATTAGCACATGGGAATAACAGGGGGAATTAGCGCATGGGAATGACATGGGGAATTAGCACATGGGAATAACATGGGGAATTACCACATGGGAATGACATGGGGAATTACCACATGGGAATAACATGGGGAATTAGCACATGGGAAAAACATGGGGAATTAGCGCATGGGAATAACATGGGGAATTAGCACATGGGATTAACATGGGGAATTAGCACATGGGAATAACAGGGGGAATTAGCGCATGGGAATGACATGGGGAATTAGCACATGGGAATAACATGGGGAATTACCACATGGGAATGACATGGGGAATTACCACATGGGCTTAGCATGGGGAATTAGCACATGGGAATAACATGGGGAATTAGCACATGGGAAA